TCCTGCTGGTGGAGGCGATGCCCAGAGTCCCCATGTGGGATTGCAGCCATGGGGACATGGAGGGGACATCACCAAGCCCCCAGAAGCTCTCTTCCCGCAGCGGGCTTTTCCAGCCACCAGCGACAGGTCCCCATCGCATCCTCCCCGGCACAGGCACAGCCCCGGGCCCTGGGGACCCTGCTGGGGTGCGGGGAGGGGGCAGGATGGGCTCACCCCCAGGATTTGGGCAAGGACACATCTTTTCAGAGACTTTCAGAGCGATCTGGAAGCCGCTGGCCAGCCTGGAGGGGAAGTGCGCTGTGCTGCAAATGGAAAAGAAAAAAACTAAATGTAAAATAATTAATGGGAATATTTGCATTCAGGTCTTGGGGTTTTTTTTGCAAATCTGAAATTTAGGGGCAGATATCACCTGCCAGGGCTCCTTTAAAGAGGAATTAATAGTAGCTGTTGTAATTGCTGACGAGGAGTAGCCTTCTGCCAGAGATAAGCTTCTAATAAGCTGTCACTGCCGGACGGCTTTAGAGTATTAACACCAACCTCAATAAACACGTGTCACCAGGTGTCCCCTCCCCAGGGAGGACTCAGTGCCACTGGTCTGTCTGGTGAGTGGTGGAACAGCTGTGGAGGACAGCTGGCAGCAGCTGGTGGCTGGGTGAGCAGCGTGGCACCCTGCACCCCACAACCAGCACCCAGGACCCCGCACCAAGGACCCTGCACCCAGGGATGCTCTGGGATGCAACGCACAGTGGGTGGGATGCTCTCAGATGCAATGCATGGTGATGGGATGCTCCCGATGCAATGCAGGGCAGGTGGGATGCTCCCAATGCAATGCATGGCAATGGGATGCTCCCGGATGCAATGCACAATAGATGCAACGCTCCCGATGCAATATAGGGTGGACGTGATGCTCCTGATGGAATGCATGGTGGATGCAATGTTCCTGATGCAACGCATGGCGATGGGATGCTCCTGATGCAATGCAGGGCAGGTGGGATGCTCCCAATGCAATGCACGGTGATGGGATGCTCCCGGATGCTGTGCTCACCAGGCAGGATGCTCACTGGATCCGATGCTCACCGGACAGTGTTTTCAGGACACGATGCTCGCTGGACGGGACGCTCTCCGGGCTTGATGTTTGCCAGTGTGATGTTTGCAGGACACAAGGCTGGCCAACGCAATGCAGCACACCCAGCTCACCTCTCCTCCAGGGCTCAGCTCCCACCTCCGCCCTGGGCTCTGCTACTTGAGCATCCCGCACAGCTGGGAGGGTTTTAATCATATCAGCAACAGTTTTCA